CACCACCCACCACCCACCACCACCACCGCTTTCCCTAAGGCTCTTGAGAGTCCTTGGTGAAGTAGATTGAAGCGGTGTAGGTCAGAGGTCTGCTTCACCCAAATGAAAGAAGTTGTCCAGTTGAGGGCTCTAGATAGGAAGGTACTGAGCTCCTTGTACATGAGGTTGAATGGAAATATATTTTAAGTGCTTTGTAGGACTATCTGAAAGCTTCTTTCCCCTCCCAGATTTAAAGTTCATTTTATACTTTCTAATGCCACTTGTCTAGTTGAGAAACCTACAGAGACTTGTGTACCTACGGTGAGCTGAGTGTGATGGTGGGAGCAGGAAAGCATCAGGACAGTGGAGAGTTATGTACGTGGAGCTGAGAGCATTCGCTGACTTCAGGGAATCCTCCAATCAAGACCAAAAGATTGAAGACACCTCCTCAAGGGAGCAGATGAATAGATGATAAAGAGATAGGAAAGTTAAATGTGACCAAGACGGAGCCTAACAGCCTCAGATTCCACCCTGGAACTCTGTGATATGAGCAGATTGAACTCCGTCCCGAATATGGCCAAAGGATTATAAAACAGGCCCATTTTCTGCCCCTCCCTGTGTCCATTAATGTGACTTTGCACCTCCTTTCGTCAAGAGATGGAGTCCATTTCCCCACGTCTTTGAAACTCCTCATCTGGGCTGACCTTGGAATTTTCTTTGACAAACTTGACTCCAGTGACTTCCACCGGAACAACAAGAACAAGAACAACAACAATCATCTTTACTGAGGCATTTGAGCTGTGGTGTTAGAGAAGAGTGCTGAAGACCCTGTAGCCTTTTAAAAGAACAAACAGATAAGTCTTTGAGAAAGTGCAATCAGAATGTTCTTTGGAGGCAAAGATGGTAAGTTTCATCTCACATTTCTCTGAGCATATTATTAGGAGAGGCTATGTCTGGGTAGGTGTGTTGGAGACAATAGGTTGGCACAGGATAGAGCAGGTTTCAGGGCTATTGAACATAGGGTCACCATGAGTCTCAAGTGACTCAATGAAATACAACAACAACAACAACAACAACAACAACAACATTCCTTGGGAAGAAAGATCATGCTTGGAAAAGCAAGGGACATTGAAGGAGAGGAAGACTCTCAGCGAAAAGGATTGATACGTTGTCTGGGGCAACTGACTCAAATGTATTGAGGATGATTAGAATAACACAGAATAGGACAGAGTACAGATCTGTTGTTCATAGGGTCGCTGTGAGTCATACTCAGCTCAATAGCACTTAATAAAAGCAAACCATCTTTACAGCCAGCTTTGGTGGCCTGTTGGGCAAAGAATTGTGCTGCCAACCCCAAAGCATGTAGTTCAAATCCACCAGCTGCTCCACAGGAGAAAGATGGGCAATCTCCTCTTGTATAATTTACAGCCTCTGGAAAAAACAACCCTGGAGGGTCAGCTCTGAGTCAGTTCCAACTCGATGGGACACAACAGAGACAATTTCTACAAAAGCAGGTTACCAGGTCTTTCTTCCATGGAGCTGTTGGTGTGTTCAAAGCTTGGACCTTTTGATTAGCTGCCAAGCACTTAATCACGGTGCCACAGGGTTCCTTCATGAGCTTACAGGAGGCTAGTAGCATGTGAAGATATGTTCATGGGTGAGAAAGGATCACAGCTTAACGTGAGATTTAGATAGACTGTGGAGAAACCACTCTGGTGTGAAATGCCAGTGATTTGAGACTCTCCCCAGGCTATAAGAAAGGAAGGGGGCAGCTGTCAGAGACATTTTATCAGGTGCCCAAAACATTTACAAGGATATCTATCTATTATCTATCTGTCTGTCTGTCTATCTATCCATCCATCTATTATCTATCTATCTATCTATCTATCATCTATCATCTATATATCTATTATCTATCATCTATCTATCTATCTATCTATCAATCAGAGTCTGTCTCTCGAATCTTTCTGAAAGGATGAGAGCTCACTCCGACAGATCTTAATAATAGATTATTTGTGTAGAGGATTTTCTATGTGCCTGAGATCATACAAGGAGCCCTGGTAATGCTGTGGTTAAGACACTTGGCTGCTAACACAAACGTCAGCAGTTGGAGCCCACCAGCTGCTCCCTGGGAGAGGGATGAGGCAGTTTGCTCCTACCTGACAGCCTTGGGGCTGTTCTGTGCTGTTCTGTGAGTCATTCTGAATCAGAATCAACTCAAGGTAGTGACATCGGTTTGAGGTATTTGGCATTAATGTTAGGTGCACAATCTTACTTAACTTTAAAACAATTCTATGTTGTGTTGTTGTTTGGTACCAATGGGTCATAACTGACTCATATCTGACCCTCCACTGGGTCAGAGGCAGTAAATTACACTAAAGGAGATTGCCCATCTTTCTATCTTTCTCCTGTGGAGCAACTGGTGGATTTGAACCAAGTGCCTTTGGTTTGGCAGCACAACTCCGTACCACTACGCCAGGCATGGTTATTTCTATTTCACAAATAAGGAAGTATTAAGATGGGAGCAAAAGCATCATAGCTGAGGTCAACCTAACTCCAAGTGCTGTTTGCTTTATGAGCCCTGGGGCCTGTTGTAGATTCACATTTCATGAAACCCCCCAGGTTTCAGCTTGCAGGAAGTATGCACATTGGGTAATTTTTAGCACAGGCTCCGGTTCGCTGGACTAGGCTGCTCACGGTCCATGCTCAGGGGTCCCTCGGATTAAGCTCAGAGTTCCTGTGCTGGGGGATTTGCAGCTGCTCCAGTTAAAGAGCTCACCAGATGTGTGGAATGGAACAAAAATCCCTGGAATGCCATCCCTGTTGGCGTTATCCATCACTGCAGCACAGACGGTTCCTCCAAGGGCCTCCCCCAAGTCCCAGCCCTGTCGACCTGCATTTGACGCTTCCAATCCGGCTGGCGGGGCCAGCCCAGCAGAGACCCTCGCTGGCAGGCAACAGGACAGCTGATGGATGGCTCAGCTTGCAATGCTGGGCAGAGCCAAACCAGCTTTGAAGAGATGTTATTGTAGGCCAGCGGGCTGTCGTATCACCTGCTTTGGGGAGATGGGTAGAGGCTGGGCTATTTGATGACCACGTCCTCCTTTACCCGCTGAGGGCCATGGTCTGGCACCTTCTGCTTCAGCACGATCCTCACTGTGCCTTGTCTCCAGCAAGCCCAACCAAAGAAGCAGCCGAGTGTGGACAAGGCTTGGGGTTTTCTTTGGCCACGCTCCTGTGAAAAGCAAGCAGGGAGCCGACAAATTCCATCAAAGTACAACCACCCTGGGAAATTAAAGCCGACACCTCACCAGGATCTTTGAAAACCTGACCTGCTCTTTGCAAGAAAGGCCGGTCTCTATACTGTACTTCATTCCACAGTCAGGAACGTGGAGAGAATTCTTCGATAAAGACTCTGGAGCCCTGCACTGGCCTGTTTCAAGAGATGATACCCTTAGTTTTTCTGCCAAACTATCAGAAGCCATTGGCAGAGCCCTTCTAAAGCCCATCATTTCAAGATGCTACAGGTGAGTTTATCCAAATCTTTCCAGGTTCTACCAAATGGATTTTCAGCTCAGCCCATGTTTGAACGCTTCCAGTGAAGGGAAAGCAACTACCTCCCAAGACAATCAGTCCATTTGGTCTTTTGGAAACTCTGTTGCTTAGGAAGTTTTCCTGACTTCCAATCCAACTATAGCTTCTGATCTGTTGAAATAAATCTATAAACCTTATAATGCAAAGGGCCAAAGAGCAAGGATGTAGGTTTAAAGACTAAGGTGCGCCTTATCCAAGTCATGATCTTTCTCAATTACTCCCTATCCATTTGAAATATGACCTTCTTATGGATGGTGTTGAATTGAATCCCCTCTTGAACTACACAGATCTTCTCAAAATCCACTTGCTGTGCTAATATGCATTAACAGAACTCTGGTGGTCTTTTTGTTGCTACTGACTGCTTTCGAGTCAAGCACAACTCATAGAGACCCTATGAACAAAAGGCCTGAAGCCCCTCTATAGTTATCAAAATAGGAATTGCACTGCAACTCAAAGGCACGTGGTGTGAATTCATCAGTTGCTGCTTCGAGGAAGAACAGTGGGAAATCTCCTCCTGAGCCTCTGAAAACCCGCTGAGGGGTCAGCTCTGAGTCAGAGCCCACTCAATGACAGTGAGGGAGTTTTTGTTTGGCTTGTTTTTAATTCAATTCCCTGAGCACCTGGCTTCACTTGACTGAAGCTGGTGCAGGGCTGTCCATCCACCTAAAGATCACTGATTGGCTAAGTTTGGCCCAATTATCGTCATCTTTGCACCAAGTAAATCCTTAGTGGAAAGTTTAGACTTGACCACTGAGCAATGATGTCAGTCTAAAGACTAAAGGGTGCCTGAATTAGGCCATGGTCCTTTCAATCACTTAGGATGCATCTAAGAGCTGGACAATAAAGAAGGATGATAGAAGACGCATCTTGGGGAAAGGCAGCCAGAGTGCTCCTTGGAGACAAGGACAGTGCTCCTTGACAGACAAGGATGTCTGTCTCTCATACTTAGGCATGTTGCTAGGAAACGCTGTTCCTTGGAAGGGGTGGTATGCTCGGAAACGTGGAGGGTCAGCAAAAGAGAGAGAGACTCTCAGCAAAATGGATTGACAGTGACTGAGCGATTTAGATTGAGTATGTCGGAAAAGGAAAGGATGGCACAGGATAGGACAGGGTTCAGATCCCATGAGTCATGCTTGGCAGTGCCCAATAACAACAGCAGTCTCCACACACTGTCTGCCTGGTTCTGCCAGGCACTGTGTGTTACCAGGCTCAGTCATGCCAGTGAGGGTGCCCACTGCTGTCTGCATACCTACTACTCTTGCTGGAACAATGAAGGGATTTTCTACCCTGGGGTTCAGAGCAGCCAAGATAGAGTTAGACCCAGAGTCAGAGACCAAGGGTGCGTAGTGTTGAAGCTGGTGCAGCCGGGTCTGCCTCTGGGCTGTGGGCAGAAGAGGAAAGACAGAAAAGAGTGGGCAAGTCTGTGTGACACTGACTTTGTGTGTGTGTTGTCTGCCTGTGTTTTGCATGAGTGTTGACTGATGCTACTTGTGTATTGCTTATGTTTGTTATGGGTGTTGTGTGTACATGTTTGTGTCTGTTACATATGTATATATATGTTGCATGCATTGTGGCCTCTGTTTGTGTTATGCATTTGCTGTGTGTGTAGGTGTTAGGTGTGTGTGTGTTGTGTTTGTGAATCTGTGTGTGTTTTATTTGTATTACATGCATTGTGTATCTATGTTGTATTTTTGTGTTTGTTCATGCTGTGATGTGTGCGTGTGGGTGTGTTTCAGCGTGTGTACAGTCTACAGATGTTGCTTTATGCTAGTGGAAGAGTGAAACTATCTGGACAGTGGACACATAGACCGGGCTGAGCTGACAAAGGAGGGGCCCCTGACATGATCCCAACATCGTCCCCTGTCAGGGTGGTGCTGGCTTCTCACCAAAGGGCTGGGGTGTGTGAACCAGGAGATGGAGTGGCCTAGTTGGTCACGCTTTGCCTTGGTGCTTCCTACTCAGCTCATCCAACAGGCAATGGGTGGGTGTATTTCCTCCTTGGACCCTGGTTTCCTTCTCTATAACATGAAGCCATTTATCTGCACCAGCTGTTTCTCCTTTAAAGTGTGCAGACTAGACACGGAGGTGTCTGCAGGCAGGTATGTGCTCACGTCCACACAGAACCCCAAATTCTCAATGGCTCCTTGATGCCCTGGCCTGGCTGTGTGGAGGTTTCTCTGACAATCTTCTGCCCAAACCTCCTCGCCTCCATCCCAGAACCAGCCAGTGGGTAGCTGGAAGTCCCAGGACCATCAGCCGACTCACCTGGGTCCAGGTCAGGAAACAAGGACATCAAGGTGAACTGGAAAAGAGCACAAAAGACAGTGAGGGCGGGTCCTGGTCCCCGAGCCAGCCAGGGACTTCCTGAGCTCTTCCAAATGAAGGGGGTACGGCTCCTGGCTCTCCTATGGGGCTGGGAGCATGGGATGCTTTCTGGAGCTACAATGGGGATCAAGGTGTTGTGGGCAGGAACAGCTCTGCCGGGAGATACCCACTTCCTTCCCAAGCTGTCAGACCTGCAGTCCTGCCCTCATCCTCCACGAGGATGCATGTCTCTCGCACGTTATTCTCAGGCTGGCTCCCCGCTGCACGGATATTGGGATGGTGTCGGTCATTGTGATTAATGTGCAGGGAGCATGCACTCATTCTCTGCTGGGCTCTGCATTCCCTCCGGCTGCACTCAGCCCTTCGAACAACCTTGTTGGTATTGGATTTGCTTGCTTTCCACTTGACTTGCTACTCCTGGCGACTCGTATGTGATGGAGTTCAAGTGCTCCATGAGGTTCTCCAGTGACAATGTTAATGGAAGCAAATCTCCAGCTCTGTCCCCTAGGGTGTTGTTGGAGGGTTTTATAACAAACTTGGAAGAAGCTTTTAATTGGCCTTGTTAATACGTAAGGAAACGGAGGCTCGGAGCACTTAGGACATCACCCTGAGGTCATGCAGATGTAGTAGGATCAGGATTCACACTGGGGTCTGAGACATCTGTGGCTGACAGCTTCTTAGGGATTGCCGATGGGCTCAAGGTAGCCATAACTCTTGAGTCAGTTCTCAGCCATGTACTCATCGTGACCCGACAACAGAGCAGAACTGCCCCTTTGGGTTTCCACGGCTGTAATCATTATGACGGCAGAAGGCTGCATCTGTCTGCCATGGTGCAGCTGGTGGGTTTGAACCTCTGACTTTCAGGTCATCAGATGAGTACTTAACTATTGTACCAGCAGGCCTCCTTTGGGGATAGACGGGTACTGTAGAGTCCCCAGTTACAAACTTTTTCCTTGATCTGAAAGAGCCCTGTTAATGTTCTGACCTTTCCTATACCCCGGCCCCCATTGCCCCTGACTATGCCTCAGTCACACCCCACTCCTCTCTGACCTTCTAAATGGCATGAATCAAGTTTCTCTCACCTCAGGGCCTTTGCACTTGCTCTTGCTTCGCACTGTGACTTTCACTGGGTCTCAGATTAAATGACATCTTCTCAGGACAGCCTTCCCTGACTACTGTTTAAGAAGAACCTCCTCTCCCCACCTTTTGTGGGCCACTGCCCCCAGTTAATGTCCTCTAAACAACACCCCTCCACAAACTCTAGGAACATTGATAAACGTCAATAGCTGTAGAGAGGTTTCAGGCCTTTTGTTCATAGGGTCGCTGTGAGTCGTGCTCGACTCGAAGGCAATCAACACCCACAAACTTCTGTGTTAATTGATATGCCCACCCCCTCTCGCAGTAGACTGTCCCCCAGAGGACAAAGATCTTGCCTGATTCATTACTAATATGTTACCTTAAGTCTAGCATAGTGCTTAAGGCAGTTCTCATGGCATAGTCTATAGAATGCTGAGCTACAAACTCAAAGGCTGTGCCTCTTGGGCAGTTCGAATCCACCCATGCTCCATGGGAGAAAGATGAGCAATCTCCTCCTGTAATTTACAGTCTCGGAAAATCTACTGGAGGGTCAACTGTGAGTCAGTCTAACCTGATGGTAATGAGATTTTTGAGAGCATGGTGCTTGCGTTCCCTAAAACATACTTGTTGACTATGTAAATAATGATCAGATTAATTTCTGTTAGAATATTTCACTGGCCAGAGAAACAAACCTTTACTCTCTGAATATTTCTTTTTTCCATTTGCACCAATGGTTAACAAGCCCAAAGACCAAGCTCCGTAGTTATATTTTTGTAAATAAAAGATTTTTTGGAGCAGAAATATGGCTGCTTTCCTGCCATGATGGCCGGGGCAGAGTAGTGGTAACAGAGTTTAGCCCCGAATCTTTTCTTCTGAGTTTTGAAGGTTTGAACCCTCTGATTTAGAGAGTCTTAGCATTCCACCAATTTTCCTTACGGCCTTGGCTCTCAGAAAGCTCAGTTCAATCTGCATGATGCATCTTCCTAGTATCCAGGTCAGCCAAGGCAGTTTAATATATATGCTTAGGATATTACCTTAAAAGCTAAGATGTGCTGGATCCAAGTAATAATATTTTTGATTGCTTTATATATATGAGAAAGTTGGATAGTGAATAAGGAAGAACAAGAAATAGATGCTTTTAATGTATATCGTCATTGAAGATCATGCCATGGATTGCAGAAAGAACAAATAAATCTGTCCTGGAGGAAACCCAGCCAGGGTGTTCCTTAGAGGCAAGGATGATGGGTTATTCCCTCTTACTTTGGGCATGTTACTAGGAGGGGCCAGTCCTTGGAGAAGGACTTCATGCTGGGAAAGGTGGAGGGTCAGTGAAAGAGAGGAAGACCCTGCATCTGCTGGATGGACACAGTGCCTGTCAGGGTGGGCGTAAGCATGGCAGAGAACGTGAGAATGGTGCAGGATACGGCCAGGTGCAGAGCTGTTGTGCTTAGGACGGCTATGAGCTGCAATTGATGTAACAGCACAAAATAACAACAAGAACCACCACCCTGGGTGGTAGAAAAGGATCAGAACTCCACTACCAACCAGAGCTGGTAATTTGGATTGACGTAGTTGAGTCTCAGAAGACTGTCCAGGTGCCTCTGAAAGATCACAGCCGTTGGAGCCCTGGGTGCACACGTCATGTCACCACATGCCAGCAGCCCCTTCTTTCATTTTATTTTCCTTTAGTAGAAGTTTGCATTTTCTCTCGTTTATAAACAATTTACTGCAGGCCTCGTTCCATCGCTTTTTAAAGTAGACAGAAGATAAATTAGGCTAGAAATATAAACAACAAAGGACACATTCCAGTAGGATGAACCAAATACATAGCACCCCCAAGTTCTATGATTGACAAAAGCCTGTATCCCCGTTGAATCTTCCAGAACATGATCAGGACTGGCAGGGCAGGGAGTGGGGAGCAGGGCTTCTACCAAACGGAGGAGTCCAGAGCCCACAAAACTGGCACTGCCACAAAGGACAAAAAAGAAGGGGACCTGTCCTTTATTAAATGAGACTTAAAGAACGTGACTACCAAATGTAGTGGGTGATCTTTGATTAAAAAGAGATCCCCAAATGATAAAGGACATTACTGGGGCAGTTGGGCAATTTGAACTTATACTAGATGATGTTACTGCATTAATGTCTAGTTTCTTGAAAATGAGAATGACATCAGCATTGTGATTCTGTAGGAAAATTATTTATTCTTTGGAGATACTAAAAACTCTCGGTGGTAAGGATGTTTTCAGTTTATTTGGAAAGAATTACAAAGACAACACAAAACAAGCAAATGTGTATGTGTGTATGGGGTGTTGGTGAATAAGAAAGAAAATAAATGTGACAAAGTGCTGATAATTTAACAGGTTGACCTAGGTGAAAGTCATTCATTGTATTAGTCTTTCTGCTTTTCTGTAGGTTTGAAAAAATGGCAAATAAAAAGATGATGAAGAAGGGAAGAGAGAAAAGGGAAGAGGGAAGGGCTGGCTGCTCTCCGCAGGGTGCCTCTGTTTGATTACCTCCAGGTGCCCAGACCTGCTTCTGCAGGAGCTGAGACCAGGGCTGGGTCAGGTAGTTGATAGGGGGGAAGTCATGCAGGAAAATTGCAGGTTCCGTTCTGAGGGGTGCTCCTGAGTACAAGGTGCTTGAAGGGGGAACATGAGCGAGAGTATCAGAACAGTGGCCACAGAAAGGTCAGAAGGAGACCCAAGAACAACGTTACCCTCCATCAATATCTGTCGTCGCAGCCAGTCACACCTGCTTTGGTTAGGTGTCCACTTAGCACTGAGGAGATGCTGGCTTAATTCTTTAGTGGGTCATATTTGGATACCTTCAGCCCTGAGAATTGGGTAAGACAGGAGGGGAACTTCCAGAGACATCCTTTGTCAAGTTCTAGCTAAGACCTATCACTCGGGCGGAGTCTGGGGTCTTCTATCTGGAACCTGGACAGTCAAGTGCTGTGCTGACCACAACCAGCAGGTGGCAGACGTGCCCTTCCCAAGAACTAGCACTTGCCCTTGAAGAGAAACCACATAAAAAGGGAATGCGACCTTCCCTGACTGGCTGAGCCTCCAGGTCCCAGCAACTCTCAGGGAGACTGAAGGTGCTGCTAGCCAGGAACTAGACTGCATTGTAGACATCTCATAGAACTGGGCTGCATTGTAGACATCTCATAGGTCTGAAGCAAGTTGTGTCATTTTGCTAAACACGATGTCTACCGATGGAGCAGACGCTGGGGGTGGAAATTAAACACAACGTAAGGCTGCCACCTGGGGTCACACAGGAAAGGTCTGGGCAATAACCATCATGCTTCCATGATGGGCTTTCCGGGCCTGGAGGTTGCCCTGGGTGGTGGCAAGCATGGGGAGGAAGGACACAGTATCTGCCTCCTTTAATTCCATCAGTCTGTACAAATATTCCAGAGGCGAGGAAACGGCAAAAGAACTCTCCCTCCTTACACTTGACAATCCAAGAAAGAAGGCTGATGAAGAAGAGGAGGAGGAGGAAGAGGGGAAGGACTCTCCTCACAGTCATGAAGAGCTGACAGTGTCCCAAGGACTGTACTAAATGCTTTTGTCTGTCTTACTGCACACGACACCTCACATGACACCTCACTTATTTACGTGCCATCGGGTTGTATGTTTTAGAAGACTGGGCCAGGCCCAGCAGGCTGGGTTATTGCTGGTCTTAAGCGCTGTTGCGTCATAGTAACCCTGTGTAAAACAGAATGAAACCCTGTCCAATTCTCTGCCATCTTCACTTTCAGTTACAAGCTACGCTCAAGCCCATTGTTACAGACATTGTACCAATCGTTGTGTCGACCCACCTTGCTGAGTCTCTTTTGCTAACTCCATCCTTCTCGGAAGACTAGCCCCTCTCGTCATAACACGCCTAAAGTAT